ATCTGCTCCAGTTTGCAACATACCACGAGGCAAAGGTGAGCTGGCACAGGGAGAGGTGTCATTTTTTACAGTGTTCATGCTTATTACCTGTTCGGTGGTAAAGAACGCAGATCTCTGTAACCGTAATTCTTGAGATTTTTCAAGGTTCTTCCTTTTTCTTTTTTTAGATTAAATCTCAGTTGTACCAAGAAGCTAAGAGCTTGCTGCAGAGCTACTTAGAGCAACACAGCTATGGATCATGGATTGTGAAGTCTCCACATATTGAACAGTTCAGTGATTGATGGCGTTGGATTGAATGTTAAGTCGGTTTGAACGATCTGTTTCAGTAAATATAGTTCTGAGTAGTAAAATGTTAAGTTCGTAGTTACAGGAAGAAAACAATTCCAGTACTGCTTCTTGTCAGTTTAAATGCGGTTATTAACCACCTGTAACAGTTCTGTCTTTTCCTAAAATGGATGTTTTCTCATAGGTGGGAGTATCCAAGAGCTTTGTAAATCTTTGTTCTGCTTTGCCCACCAATGGTTCCTCATTGCAGCTCACTGACCCCGACTCCTACAAATCCCCGCCCTGTGGAGTTAACATGGTTTTTTTCCTGATAGTTTCAGGACTTCTGTATATTGATTTCTTACTCTTTGTGCCTTTCTCTTAACTTTAAAAAAGAAAAAAACAACAGTAAAAGCTGTATTTCTTTAAAAAACAAGCTTACCTCTGTGAGAGGTTTTCAGGAAAGAAACAAAGAAACGGGCAGTCTGTGCTTTATCTGTAGGTATCCGTCCTTTGCTTGAGAGTTTTGTTCAGTGTCAGTTTGCCAAGTGGCTTATAGTTTATGTTGTTTGTGCTAGAAGAGTTAAAAAATAATTTTTGTACTTACGAATATGAAACCTGGAATGACCAGCTGTTACTCAACTGTTGTGTGACAATCACTGGTTCTGGTAGTGGGTTTAAAGCATTATGCAGGCATCAAAGCTGTAAATAAGAAAATAATGCAGTGTAGTAGAAAAGTCACCAGAAACAAGGGTTTTTCAGCTTTTGTGGTTTGCCTCAAACCCTATCAATGTTAATGCTCTTGGATGAGTTGGACTCCTGCACCCTCAGCTGACTTCATTGCTGCACTGACAAGTCCTTGTGAAATTGTCTGCATACGCAGTAACTGGAAAATGGTGCCTGTCACGAGGGAATTTACTTCCTAGCATTGGAAAGTAAGGACTTGACTTCCAAGGGTTGTTCTGGTAAGAACACAGTAGCAT